ATTTGAAATTTTGATGCACATGGGTGTGTGTTACTCCGATGTTTTCAATCACGTATATCTTTACATGCACAGAATTTAAACAATTTTTTTTTATTGGTAAGTGTGTGCCAAAGGATTACAAAGAAGAAGGAATAGGTGTGAAAATTAAGAAATTGAAAATATTTGAAATATTTAAGAAAAAACATAAGAAAATATTTTAATTTGCGAAAAACAGGGTTTTTTTGAAAATTCGTAGTTTTAAAGGGAAAACTGTTAAGGAGATTTTTCTAGTGGGATTTCAAATGTAATTGAACATGCTTTGAAAAAAAAAATCATTATTTCGATTATTTTCAAAAAACATATTTTCGTTACGGAGTTCAACAATCTAATTCTACACGGAGAAAATTTTATATTAAGTTTTAATACAATTTTAAATTACACTTTACTATGTCTTGTATTTTCGATGGACCATCACAACATAATTCTGACATAACTTTTACTATAGTAATACTAATTTTTATCACATAAATAAAATAATTTTTTTAAAAGCCAGTACTTAAGCCACATTCTAACATGAAAACAGTTAATTTTTACTATGGTACGCAAAATTTGTTAAGTACATATTTTTTACTTATCTTTACAATACTAACTTTTATTCGATAAGTTTTGATTTTGTAATAAAAAAATTTTTACTATGAAAAAGTATAAAAATTACGTTGCATTATTGTTTTTTAAAAAATAGCTATAGCATTTAAACTTATAATTGTCATGATAGTCTGCAACTTCTACAACTTTATAGTAATTTTAAATATAAAATTTTCACCATGTGTAATAAAAAACGATCGTGGAAAATTTCCATCTGACCTTCGAAACCAACTATGGTGGAGAATTAATAGTGGGAATATAAAACTTTTTTTACTCCCTGCTCTCATTCACTCTTACGACTTATAAATGCTTATAAGCGCTATTATATACAGCAGAATGTATGTAACCTAGTGCTCCAGCTGAGGGTTAATCTAAAAAGAAATGACAATGTAATACAAAATAAATACGATTAATATAAATAAGATAATAAAATATGAATTATTATATATTGCTGAATTTTAGTAGATGAAGTATTTACTTGCGCGAAAGCCTAATCAAAATTTCATCCACCTACAATACCGTTGCAACCATCGCGGATGCCCTAGCCGTGCAATTCCACGTCAGGGAAAGTCACGATTCTTTCTTTGTAATTGTATATCATATCTCAGACTTCGCGTAGTCACGATGCCAGAAGCTAAATGAAACCGCTTCATGCGCAGCAAACATGCCCGGCGCGATGCTCTGAAGGAGATTGAGATCTCCTTTCGCGTTCATCCGGAGCTGTGATTACTTACCAGCCACGAATCACGATGGGGTATTAATAACGCGCATTTCGCTCGTCCACGTGAATAGAGCCGGCTCGCCTAATTGAATGTAATGGTAGCTATTAGATCACCGTTTCATATATATTTCCACAGATCTACATGCACCGCGAAACTCTCTCTCTCTCTCTCTCTCTCCCCCTCCCTCCCTCCTCGCGCGCGCGCGTGCGCGCGCACACACACACACACACACACACATTTCAAACTATCCGAGATTCATTCTAGAAAAATGTCAAATAATACAACTTACCCTCGTGCAACAATTAGACACTCTTGAACTTAATTTTTAATGTGCAACATTAAAACTCTCGTTAGGTGAATCTTAATGGTATTTTCAAGTTTCGGACTTAGATCCACATTGAAACATGTCCGCGCTTGTCGACTCCAGTAACAGACGAGATTCACCAGCGGGACCTGCACAAGGGCCCTTCGGAAGGCATGAAACCCACGCCAGTGAGACCACCAGGGAGCCGCCACGCCCCCAGCGGACCGTGCTTACCTACGCGATCTCTCACGCGCACACATACTCGTCGCGTGCAAATACACACACACACACACACACACACACACACACAACGCATACTCATATTGCCGATCTTGTACGTGTAAACGATTCGAACGTACCGTGAGACGGTAGGTGGTGGATACGAGAGGACACGCGGCGCGCAATGGCGGATTACTCCCAGACTCGTACACGCGTCCTTCCATCACGAAGCCGAAACGGGTTACTAGAAAGGACAGAGAGGCGGGAAGGACGAAGAAGCAGTGTCGACAGCATAATCGTCGGATCAAGCGCCAAGATTTGCCCCGTGCAAATATCCACGCCAACGCGAGTCGAGTCCTCTCACGGCCCTCGGGCTACCGGGTTCCAGAGACGGGACCAGGGATCTTCTCGCGTGTACGAGGAGTTTCGGATGGGAGTTTCGGGGGAGGGCACGAGGGAGAGTTCTCGCGCGAGAGTTTCTCTTTCTTTTTATATTTAACGGCGTGGGAGATGGACGCGATAATAATCACTTGGCGCTTCCGATCGCCGCGAGGCGATAAAAAGTATGTGACGGTAATTTAATAATTTCTCTATAAGAGCTGAGCTCCAAGTATTAGTTAATTTTCCATCCCTCATAGATCTCGCGTTACACGAGATAGAAAATATTCTTCACTTACCCATCCTCTGTTGCAAGAATCTTAATCCAGCAACAGTTCCAATGCCGATGATTTATCGCGTTGACGATGATCCTGCGACCTCGATTACCCCGCAGGCAAATGTCTTTGTTACACGAACAGTCCATGTAGAGGCGTTGCACCTGATCGGGTGATGCATCGCGGTACGTGCTCGATATCTCACGGGAGTCTCGCGTGGGATGACGGCAGGTGGGAAGGTCAGGGGGTGTGGATCGGAGCATATTCTTCTTACGAGCTCACGGACCTGCAATTAGAACAGACGCGTACCGATCGGGTGAGTGCGGCAGTAAATCCAGGGTCCATTCGTGCGATGACAGCCTCAAGAACGAAAACCAGCATCTTGCAGCGTAACACGGCGATGTGTTAAGCTCATTTCGCCAAATCGCAAACTGAATAGGTATACGGAAATACGGAAAAGGAAATTTTATCTACGGATCTTGCTGTTATAATAAGCAACACGCGCAAAAATATATCTCTTATAATACCTTATGTTAAAAATACAAAATGGGAAACATAAACTTTTTACTTTTTTAATGCTAGAAATATGTTTTGTCACTTACTAAAATGGCTCAAACGAATAAATTACTATGAAAATAAAGAAGGTAGTGAAAAACCAAATATTTCATCAATATAAAGGACATAATTATTGAAAAGTCAAAAAAGAATTCTATTTTTTACACAAGAAATACATGATGACTCAATAAATAATCTTAATTTTTACCACCGTGATTGTCAAGACTGTTAAGAGCAAATATAAGATATTACTTGTTGACTGATCTATCGTATAGTATTAATGTAAAAAATAGAAACAATCAATAATGCTCGATACTTCTAATGTTAAACTAATCTCTGTTGAAGTGCACAGCAAACAATATGCAAACAAGGACAATGTTATATTATTTCATTAGTTTAGCGTGATTCATCCTTGAAACACCAAATAGATGGTATATATTGAAAGAAATCGCTCCGTAAATAAGACCATATTTCCGAATTCATGTCGAATGTGAAATCACATCGATATCTATTCGTCACGGTCGCAACGATAATCTGCAGCGCGAAAATTGGTATACTCGTCCCCTCCTGATGTACCGCGTGGAGAAGAATATAGGATGATTCCTAACGAATTCATAGGCGGATAGGAATGCAATATTGTCCGCAGTCTGTCACGCATTCGATCCGGTCGGGCGATAGCGATAGCGCCCAAGCGAGCGAGCGAGCGCACGCAAGAACCCCAAATAACGGGATGAGATTTCCTCTTCGTTTTATTACGCGGTGGCCCGCAGACGTACATATATCGGACAATAAACTGTAGCTGTAGTTTAGGAGATTTGTGTGCCGCGTATTAATTCCGGCATATTTATGTCACGGCGCGGAATAGCGTTCGTTTCTCTTCGTGACCGGCAATTTAAGTAAAAAAACATTTGTTTCGAGATGAAGCCGCGGCCTGTCAAAATCCTATCTTGTTTCATCAATGTAGTGCATATTTTAAAATTAATTTTTATTAATGTTTCTCTCTCTAAAACACATGTAACTACATATATTAATAATGCGGAGTGATTTATATATGGTAGAGATTTAAGTGCTTTCATGTAATTAATTTGAATAATGTTTCCCGAAAATAATTGGATAATTCTAAATCAAGAATTATCATTGTGTGTGTTATATATATTCATCTTAGTAGAATTAATGATAAAATGATGAAATTAAATGCGTTAAGATGGTTCTTTAGTGAAGTGTGCCGAAAATTTGGAGTACCTCACCAGGGCCCACCCAAAATTAAATGTCTGCATAATTTGGATAAAATATTATAATATTAAAACTATATGTATATCTTAATGAAATAATGAATATGAAATATACGATAGTAAATCAAGAGCATCTTCATTGAACGAAAACAAGATGAGATTATGTTTATTTTTCGAGGTTAAATTTATATGCAAGTTTATGCACGTAAATATCTTTCCAGAATGGCCGTTGACCTTATTATTTTTTCGTGATTAAAATCATAATTTTTTAAACTATTATAATATCGATTTTGAAAAAAGTCTATGATAAGATTTGTGTGCAGTTAGTTAAAGAAGCTCTGCGAGCCTTATCTGTCACTAATTGTAAGTTATACATGAAAGGTTACATTTTCAACCCTTTTTCTTTCTTATATCATCGTTAACCTACCGTAGAACCGTAGAATTTTGCACACGTCAAATTTCGGTACTTCAACTTCATAATATCCAAAAAATTAGACATTCCTATGGTAACTCGATTTACTAAAGAACCATCTTAAATTGAGACAAGTTATTGCATTAAAAGAAACAATGGAGCTTAAGAAATCATCAAGTTTTTCGTTCGTTTAACATTTCCGTTGAGCAGAAGAAGCATTTAATACAGCGCTTTTCTTTTTCCCCATAAGGAAGTCTGATCGATCGTCGTCGTTAGAAATCGTGAAGGCAAGGAAAGGAAGAAAGTGTCGTGATGGAAAAGGATGCGGTAACGACAGCCGTTCCGAGTTCTTGGTAGAGCTCGCAATCGACTTAGCCACCACCACGCCTCGTTCTCCTCTCGCGTTTTTCGTGAAGCAGGTGGAGATCGACGTTATGTTAATGGAGTTTCGAGAGATCTCAGCTAACCATATGTTATCCTGCGCTGCGGCTGCGGAGGTGGGCGGCAAAGCTGGCCCGAGCCAGAAGTACTAATAGAAGCCCTTCTTCGCAGAAGCAACCTTGTGGTAAACGAGACCTCATCCTCTTGGCACACCGGTCATCCCGAACGGCGATCTCCCCACGACCGGTAGGAACGGAAGCTAATTTGTAAATCATCTAAAAAAATCGCGCGTCCTGGCGCCGCCCCGAATTACGCGTGATTTCAACGTTAGTTCCTGTCAAGTAGACGATACCCCGGTTACGACTCCGTTAAGAATTTGATAGGATTACCCGGATTGCGCGAGCACCTGCGCGAATACATGTCAATAACAGAAATTTGAAGGCATCAAGATAGAAGCGCGTACTATTACTACCGCACGAAAACACTGGCTAACCAAAATAACACATCAAGCTAGGTATATTTATTTTAACCAATTAACCATGATTAACTTAATCTTGTTTCTTCCATTGCGTAATGCAGCGAGTGACGCTATTAAAACTACTACGAGTGCATAACTCAGTCGAAAATTAATCCCCTTGTCCGGTGGAGAGGTTTCGAGATAAAGAGTGCACACACTGGAGAGGATCAGTGATAGGATGTCGTGGAGCGAGGAAAGCGAAGTCGGCGCTTTTGACCGGGACACCCCATGGTGCGCGACATGCCTGGTCTGACCGCCATTTAGTGTGAACCTGTCTCCGACTGGACCCACTCGAGGCTACAGAGAGACTGTTTCTTCATTTTCGATAAATACATACTTCAAGTGTGTGGAATGATCACGAGTATCGCGACCGCTCATTATGTCTGTCTTTTATAAAAGCTCGATCGACCTTCGGCTCGAGTTAACACCATCATTTGCATTTATCGATATAAGATCTTTAAAATCAGAGAATGAGTCGGAATTTTTAATTATATATATAAAAGTTTATATATATATAT